GTTCTCAGTTGTGCGTCCTGTGTGTTGTGTGTTGTGTGTTGTTGTTGTGTGTTCTCAGTTGTGCGTCCTGTGTGTGTGTGTGTGTTGTGTTGTTGTTGTGTGTTCTCAGTTGTGTCCTGTGTGTTGTGTTGTTGTGTTGTGTTGTGTGTGTTGTTGTTGTGTGTTGTGTTCTCAGTGTGCGTCCTGTGTGTGTGTGTGTTGTGTGTGTGTGTGTTGTGTGTTCTCAGTTGTGCGTCCTGTGTGTTGTGTGTGTTGTTGTTGTGTGTGTTGTTGTTGTGTGTGTTGTGTGTTCTCAGTTGTGCGTCCTGTGTGTTGTGTGTGTTGTTGTGTGTGTTGTGTTGTTGTGTGTTCTCAGTTGTGCGTCCTGTGTGTTGTGTGTGTTGTGTGTGTTGTGTGTTGTTGTGTGTTCTCAGTTGTGCGTCCTGTGTGTTGTGTGTGTTGTTGTTTGTTGTGTGTGTTCTCAGTTGTGCGTCCTGTGTGTTGTGTGTGTTGTGTGTGTTGTTGTGTGTTCTCAGTTGTGCGTCCTGTGTGTGTGTTGTGTGTGTGTGTGTGTGTGTTGTGTGTTCTCAGTTGTGCGTCCTGTGTGTGTGTGTGTTGTTGTGTGTGTGTGTGTTCTCAGTTGTGCGTCCTGTGTGTGTTGTGTTGTTGTTGTTGTTGTGTGTTCTCAGTTGTGCGTCCTGTGTGTGTGTGTGTTGTTGTTGTTGTGTGTGTTCTCAGTTGCGTCCTGTGTGTGTGTGTTGTGTTGTGTTGTGTTGTTGTGTGTGTTCTCAGTTGTGCGTCCTGTGTGTTGTGTGTGTTGTTGTTGTGTGTTTGTTTCTCAGTTGTGCGTCCTGTGTGTGTGTGTGTTGTGTGTTGTTGTTGTGTGGTTCTCAGTTGTGCGTCCTGTGTGTTGTGTGTGTTGTTGTTGTTTGTGTGTTTCAGTTGTGCGTCCTGTGTGTTGTGTGTGTTGTGTGTGTTGTGTGTGTGTCTCAGTTGTGTTGTTGCTCAGTTGTGCGTCCTGTGTGTTGTGTGTGTTGTGTGTGTGTGTTGTGTTGTTGTGTGTTCTCAGTTGTGTGTGTGTTGTGTGTTGTGTGTCTCAGTTGTGCGTCCTGTGTGTTGTTGTGTGTGTTGTGTTTGTGTGTGTCTCAGTTGTGCGTCCTGTGTGTGTGTGTGTGTTGTGTTGTTGTGTGTGTCTCAGTTGTGCGTCCTGTGTTTTGTGTGTTGTTTGTTGTGTGTGTTTCTCAGTTGTGCGTCCTGTGTGTGTGTGTTGTTGTTGTTGTTGTGTGTTCTCAGTGTGTCCGTGTGTGTTGTGTGTGTTGTTGTTGTGTGTGTGTTGTGTGTGTCTCAGTTGTGCGTCCTGTGTGTTGTGTGTGTGTGTGTTGTGTGTTGTGTTGTCTCAGTTGTGCTCCTGTGTGTGTTGTGTGTTGTGTTGTTGTGTGTGTGTGTGTTCTCAGTTGTGCGTTCTGTGTTGTGTGTGTGTGTTGTGTGTGTTGTGTGTGTTGTTGTGTGTGTGTTGTGTTGTGTGTGTTCAGTTGTGCGTCCTGTGTGTGTGTGTGTGTTTGGTGTGTTGTGTGTTCTCAGTTGTGCGTCCTGTTGTTGTGTGTGTTGTGTTGTTGTTGTGTTCTCAGTTGTGCGTCCTGTGTTGTGTGTGTTGTGTTGTGTGTTGTTGTGTGTTCTCAGTTGTGCGTCCTGTGTGTTGTGTGTTGTTGTTTGTGTGTGTTGTGTGTTCTCAGTTGTGCGTCCTGTGTGTTGTGTGTGTTGTGTGTGTGTTGTGTTGTTGTGTGTTCTCAGTTGTGCGTCCTGTGTGTGTGTGTAGTTCTCGGACAGCGAGTGTGCGAAGAAGGCGATGGAGCAGTTGAACGGGTTCGAGCTGGCGGGACGTCCCATGAAGGTGGGTCATGTGACCGAGCGCACGGACCCGATGCTCGCCTCGTCTTTCCTCGACAACGACGAACTGGAACGAACGGGAATCGACCTGGGCGCCACGGGACGCCTCCAGCTCATGGCACGCCTGGCAGAGGGTGAGAGCGCGGTCAGAGCGGGGTCAGAGCGGGGGTCAGAGGAGGGTCAGAAGGGTCAGAGGGGGTCAGAGTGAGGGTGAGAGCGGGGGTCAGAGGGTTGAGAGGGGGTCAGAGAGGCGGTCAGAGGGGTCAGAGGCAGAGGGGGGTAGAGCGAGGGTCAGAGCGAGGGTCAGAGGGGGGTCAGAAGAGGGGTCAGAGCGGGGGTCAGAGGGTCAGGGGGGGTCAGAGCGGGTCAGAGGGTCAGAGCGAGGGTCAGAGGGAGGGTCAGAGCGGGGTCAGAGTGAGCGTCAGAGGGAGCAGAGCGTCAGTCAGAGCAGAGCAGCAGAGAGGTCAGAGCAGAAGGGTCACGAGGGTCAGAGAGGGTCAGAGCGAGGTAGAGAGCGAGGTCAGTCAGAGTTCAGAAGCAGAGAGGTCAGAGGAGAGTCAGAGGGAGGTCAGAGAGTCAGAGGGAGGTCAGTCAGACGAGTCAAGCAGAGGGAGGGTCAGAGGTCAGAGCAGAC